CTCAGCACCCACACCCAATCCATGGCACCCGTCCTGCATGCACCCAACCCAGCAGCTATCTGCACCTACAGCACTCATCCTGCACCCACAGCACCTAGCTGCACCCACAGCACCCATCCTGCACCCACAGCACCTATCTGCACCCACAGCACCTATCTGTACCCACAGCACCCATCCTGCACCCACAGAACCCATCTGCACCCACAGAACCCATCCTGCACCCCAGCACCCATCCACACTCACAGCACCTATCTGCACCCACAGCACTGATCCTGCACCCACAGCACCCATCCTGCACTCACAGCACCTATCTGCACCCACAGCACTCATCCACACCCACAGCACTCATCCACACCCACAGCACGCATCCTGCACCCACAGCACCCATCCTGCACCCACAGCACCCATCTGCACCCACAGCACCCATTCTGCACCCACAGCACCCATCCTGCACCCACAGCACCCTACTGATGGCATCCTCAGAACCCATCCTGCACCCACAGCACCCATTCTGCACCCATAGCACCCCTCCTACAACCACAGCAGCCTACTGATGGTATCCCCAGCACCCATCCTGCACCCACAGCACCCATCCTGCACCCACAGCACCCATTCTGCACCCACAGCACCCCTCTTACAACCACAGCACCCATCTGTACCCACAGCACCTATCTGCACCCACAGCACCCATTCTGCACCCCCAGCACCCATCTGCACCCCAGCACCCATCCTGCACCCACAGCACCCATCCTGCACCCACAGCACCCATCCTGCACCCATAGCACCCCTCCTGCACCCACAGCACCCATCTGTACCCACAGCACCTATCTGCACCCACAGCACCCATCCTGCACCCAAAGCACCCATCCTGCACCCATAGCACCCCTCCTGCACCCACAGCACCCTACTGATGGTATCCCCAGAACCCATCCTGCACCCACAGCACCCATCTTGCACCCGCAGCACCCTACTGATGGTATCCCCAGCACCCATCCTGCACCCACAGCACCCATCCTGCACCCGCAGCACCCATCCTGCACCCATAGGACCCATCCGCACTCACAGCACCTATCTGCACCCACAGCACTCATCCACACCCACAGCACCCATCCTGCACCCACAGCACCCATCTGCACCCACAGCACCCATCCGCACTCACAGCACCTATCTGCACCCACAGCACCTATCTGCACCCACAGCACCCATCCTGCACCCACAGCATCCATTCTGCACCCATAGCACCCCTCTTACAACCACAGCACCCATCTGTACCCACAGCACCTATCTGCACCCACAGCACCCATCCTGCACCCACAGCACCCATCCTGCACCCATAGCACCCCTCCTGCACCCACAGCACCCATTCTGCACCCACAGCACCCTACTGATGGTATCCTCAGAACCCATAGCACCCATCTTGCACCCACAGCACCCATCTTGCACCCACAGCACCCATCTTGCACCCACAGCACCCTACTGATGGTATCCGCAGCACCCATCCTGCACCCACACCCAACCAGTGGCACCCACCCATTGCACACCCTGAACCCATAGCACCCACTCAGCACCCACACCCAACCCACAGCACCCATCCTGCAACCACAGTACTCATACTACAACCAAAGCACCCTACTGATGGTATCCCCAGCACCCATCCTGCACACACAGCACCCATCTGCACCCACAGCACCCTACTGATGGTATCCCCAGCACCCATCCTGCACCCACAGCACCCATCCTGCACCCACAGCACCCATCTGCACCCACAGCACCCTACTGATGGTATCCCCAGCACCCATCCTGCACACACAGCACCCATCTGCACCCGCAGCACCCTACTGATGGTATCCCCAGCACCCATCCTGCACACACAGCACCCATCCTGCACCCACAGCACCATACTGATGGTATCCCCAGCACCCATCTTGCACCCACAGCACCCATCTGCTCCCACAGCACCCCTCCTACACCCACAGCTCTCTCCTGATGGTATCCCCAGCACCCATCCTGCCCCTCACGAAGGGGGGGTTGTCAGCCCCCAGCACCCATCTGCATCCACCCTGCACCCATCAGCACCCATCCTGCGCCCAATGAGGGGATGGAAATCAGCAGCTGGCACCCATCTCCCAATGAGGAGGGGCAATAAGCCCCCAGCACCACCCTGCACCCTATAAAGGGGTGCCTCAGCCACCAGCACCCATTCTGCACCCCCAGCACCCATCTTGCACCCTATAAAGGGAAGCCTCAGCCACCAGCACCCATTCTGCACCCCTAGCACCCAACCCATGGCACCCCCAGCACCCATCTTGCACCCTATAAAGGGAAGCCTCAGCCACCAGCACCCATTCTGCACCCCTAGCACCCAACCCATGGCACCCCCAGCACCCATCCTGCACCCACAGCACCCAACTCATGGCACCCACAGCACCCCCAGCACCCTACTGATGGTATCCCCAGCACCCATCCTGCTCCCCATAAAGGGGCACCTCAGTCACCAGCACCCACCCTGCACCCCTAGCACCCATCCTGCACCCACAGCACCCTACTGATGGTATCCCCCGCACCCATCCTGCACCCCCAGCACCCATCCTGCACCCCCAGCACCCAACCCATGGCAACCCCAGCACCCACAGCACCCTACTGATGGTATCCCCAGCACCCATCCTGCACCCCATAAAGGGGCACCTCAGCCACCAGCACCCACCCTGCACCCCCAGCACCCAACCCATGGCACCCCCAGCACCCATCCTGCACCCCATAAAGGGGCACCTCAGTCACCAGCACCCATCCTGCGCCCCCAGCACCCATCCTGCACCCCATAAAGGGGCTCCTCAGCCACCAGCACCCAACCCATGGCACCCCCAGCACCCATCCTGCACCCCCAGCACCCAAACCATGGCACCCCCAGCACCCATCTTGCACCCCATAAAGGGGCACCTCAGTCACCAGCACCCATCCTGCGCCCCCAGCACCCTTCCTGCACCCCATAAAGGGGCACCTCAGTCACCAGCACCCAACCCATGGCACCCCCAGCACCCATCTGCACCCCCAGCACCCATCCTGCACCCCATAAAGGGGCACCTCAGTCACCAGCACCCATCCTGCGCCCCCAGCACCCATCCTGCACCCCATAAAGGGGCACCTCAGTCACCAGCACCCAACCCATGGCACCCCCAGCACCCACAGCACCCTACTGATGGTAACCCCAGCACCCATCCTGCGCCCCCAGCACCCATCCTGCACCCCATAAAGGGGCTCCTCAGCCACCAGCACCCATTCTGCACCCCCAGCACCCAACCCATGGCACCCCCAGCACCCATCCTGCACCCCCAGCACCCATCCTGCACCCCATAAAGGGGCACCTCAGTCACCAGCACCCAACCCATGGCACCCCCAGCACCCATCTGCACCCCCAGCACCCATCCTGCACCCCATAAAGGGGCACCTCAGCCACCAGCACCCATCCTACACCCCACAAGTGGGTGTCACCCCCAACCCCCCCCATGACCCCATGGGTGCTGCTGCAACGCGCCCCTCCCCCCTGGCCAAAGGGCACTGAGGGAGGGGGAGGACTTTGACCGGGGGGGGCGGAGCTAAAGCGGGAGGGGTGGGGGGGGGGGATGGGGACATTGGGGGGGGGGGTTGGGGGGTTCCCCCCCCCCAACACCGCAAGAGGCGGTGCCGGGGGGGGGGGAAATCCCACCCGGTGACGTCACGCGGCGGTGTCACTCCCATGACGTCACACCCCCCCCCCCAGACTGCAACAAAAGAGCGGGGGGGGGGGGGAAGGGGGGGAACCCCCAATTGGCCACCCCTCGTCTCCGTTAACGGATACCCCATAACCGGTACCCGACCCCCCCCCCCAACAGACCGGACACCCCATAAGCGGCACCGGGCACCCCAAAACCGGTAACGATCACCTGCAACCCCTCCACAACCCCTGTTCAACGGAACCCCTCGGGCCCCCATCACTGGTTCCGGGGGTGGAAGATGCATCCCTGGTACCAGCATCCCCTCGGTAGCAGCATCCCCAGTACCAGCATCCCCCGTACCAGCATCCCCCTGTACCAGCATCCCCGGTACCATCATCCCCCCTGTACCATCATCCCCTCGGTACCTGCATCCCCCAGTACCAGCATCCCCGTTACCATCATCCCCCCGGTACCAGCATCCCCTCGGTAGCTGCATCCCCCTCTACAAGCATACCGGGTACCAGCATCCCCTCGGTACCAGCATCCCCGGTACCATCATACCCTCGGTACCTGCATCCCCCTCGGTACCAGCATCCCCCGTACCAGCATCCCCTCGGTACCAGCATCCCCGGTACCAGCATCCCCGGTACCAGCATCCCCGGTACCAGCATCCCCTCGGTAGCTGCATCCCCCTCTACCAGCATCCTGGGTACTAGCATCCCCTCGGTACCAGCATCCCCCCGGTACCAGCATCCCCAGTACCAGCATCCCCCTCTACCAGCATCCCTTCGGTACCAGCATCCCCCCGATACCATCATCCCCTCGGTACCATCATCCCCTCGGTACCATCATCCCCCCGATACCATCATCCCCTCGGTACCATCATCCCCTCGGTACCATCATCCCCTCGGTACCTGCATCCCCCTCTACCAGCATCCCGGGTACCAGCATCCCCCCGGTACCTGCATCTCCCCGGTACCATCATCCCCCCGGCACCTGCATCCCCCCCGGTACCATCATCCCCTCGGTACCAGCATCACCCAGTAAAAGCATCCCCTCGGTACCTGCATCCCCCCCGGTACCATCATCCCCTCGGTAGCAGCATCCCCGGTGCCATCCTCCCCCGGTACCTGCATCCCCCTCGGTACCATCATCCCCCTGTACCATCATCCCCCCGGTACCAGCATCTCCGGTACCATCACCACCGGTACCATCATCCCCCCGGTACCTGCATCCCCCTCCCCGGTACCATCATCCCCCCCCACCCCCCCCACCCCGACCCCCTCCGGTGCCCGCTCCCGGCCCTACCCGCTCCCCCGTAGCTGGCGGCCATGGCCCATGCGATGCTGGCCGCGGTGCGGGCCCGGGCCCCGTCGTACCGGTCGAGCGGGCGGATCTCGGGCCCCAGCAGCTCCCGGCGCATGGCGGCGGCCGCGGCCGGAGGAGCCGCCACCATCGCGGCCGGGGAAGAGGAGAGGGGGACGGGGACCCGGTTCGGTTCGGTTCGGTTCGGCTGCGTTCGGGTTGGGTTCGGAAGAGTTCGGGTCCCTTCGGGTGGAGCTCGGTGGGGTTCGGGTGGGGTTCGGGGAAGGGAGGGAGGGAGGGGGGGGGGCTCGGAGGGAGATCGGGAAGGGAGGGGGGGGGATCGGGAGGGATCGGAAGGGATCGGAGGGGTTCGGGGGGGGGGTCGGGGGGGTTCGGGGGGGTTCGGAAGGGATCGGAGGGGTTCGGAAGGGTTCGGGGGGGTTCGGAGGGGTTCGGAAAGGTTCGGGGGGGGTTCGGGGGGGTTCGGAGGGGTTCGGAGGGCGGGCGCGGCCCCCGGTGGGAGCGAGCGGAGAGCGCCAGGTGCGGGGAGGGGAGACGGGGAAGGGGGCGGGGCCCGGGCACGTGACCGCAGGTGAGCCCCGCCCCCTGCTGCTGGCGGTGGGGCGGGGCTGGGGGGAAAGGGGGACACGGGGAGCAATGGGGGGTAATGGGGGGCAATGGGGGGTAATGGGAGCTATGGGGGTAATGGGGGGCAATGGGGGTAATGGGGGGTAATGGGGGGTAATGGGGTAATGGGGGTAATGGGGAACAATGGGGGTAATGGGGGGCAAGGGGGTAATGGGGAGCAATGGGGGCAATGGGGGTAATGGGGGTAATGGGGAGCAATGGGGGGTAATGGGGAGCTATGGGGGGTAAAGGGGGGTAATGGGGGGTAAAGGGGGGTAATGGGGAACAAGGGGGTAATGATGGTAATGGGGGTAATGGGGGGTAATGGGGAGCTATGGGGGGTAAAGGGGGTAATGGGGGGTAAAGGGGGGTAATGGGGAACAAGGGGGTAATGGGGGTAATGGGGGGTAATGGGGAACAATGGGGTAATAGGGGTAATGGAGAACAATGGGGGTAATAGGGGGCAAGGGGGTAATGGGGAGCAATGGGGGTAATGGGGGCAATGGGGAGCAATGGGGGTAATGGGGGCAAAGGGGGTAATAGGAAGCAATCGGGTAATGGGGAACAATGGGGTAATGGGGCAATGAAGGTAATGTGGGGCAATGGGGGTAATGGGGTAAAGGGGGTAATGGGGCAATGGGGGTAATGTGGGGCAATGGGGGTAATGGGGTAAAGGGGGTAATGGGGTAACGGGGAGCAATGGGGGTAATGGGGGCAATGGGGTAATGGGGGGCAATGGGGGTAATAGGAAGCAATGGGGTAATGGGGAACAATGGGGTAATGGGGCAATGAAGGTAATGTGGGGCAATGGGGGTAATGGGGTAAAGGGGGTAATGGGGCAATGAGGGGTAATGGGGAGCAATGGGGGTAATGGGGGGCAATGGGGGTAATGGGGGCAATGAGGGTAATGGGGAGCAATGGGGGTAATGGGGGGCAATGGGGGTAATGGGGGGCAATGAGGGTAATGGGGGCAATGAGGGTAATGGGGGGCAATGGGGCTAATGGGAACACTTGGGGCAACTGAGGGGTCTGGGGGGAACTGGGAGTAATGGGGCTAATGGGGAGCAGACCCCTTATGGAGGCCCTGGGGTTACTGGGAGCACTGGGAAGCACTGGGTGCCCGTGTCCGTGTCCCCTGTGCCCCCCCCCCCCCCCCGGGTCCGTGTCCCCCCCGCAGCCCCTCCCCGTGTCCTAATTTCCACCAGTGGCCATGGCAACGGGACAAGGGACACGGGGGGGCACGGGGGGAGATGGAGGGGACAGGAGGGATGTGGGGTGTGGGATATGGGGTATGGGATATGGGATATGGGGTGTGGGGTGCGGGGTATGGGGTATGGGGTATGGGGTATGGGATATGGGGTGTGGGGTGTGGGATATGGGGTATGGGGTGTGGGATATGGGGTGTGGGATATGGGGTGTGGGATATGGGGTATGGGGTGTGGGATATGGGGTGTGGGATATGGGGTATGGGGTGTGGGGTGTGGGATATGGGGTATGGGGTGTGGATATGGGGTGTGGGATATGGGGTATGGGATATGGGGTGTGGGGTGTGGGGTATGGGGTGTGGGATATGGGGTGTGGGATATGGGGTATGGGATATGGGGTGTGGGGTGTGGGGTATGGGGTGTGGGATATGGGGTGTGGGGTGTGGGGTGTGGGATATGGGGTATGGGATATGGGGTGTGGGATATGGGGTATGGGATATGGGGTGTGGGGTTGGGGTATGGGGTGTGGGATATGGGGTGTGGGGTGTGGGGTGTGGGATGTGGGGTGCAGGGTGCGGGGTGCAGGGTGTGGGATGTGGGGTGCGGGTGGATGTGTTTGGGGCTCTGGGGTCACCCCGGGTGGGGGCGGGGCCGCAGGTGCTGGCGCTGGGCCCGCCCCGGCCCCTCCCCGCCCAGTTCATCCGGTTCAACCGGTTCAGCGGGGAGCCGGGGGGGGGAGGGGCCGGGGGTTTTGGGTGGGTGGGGGAGGGGCAGCCCCGCCCCCCCCTCCCCCATCCCCGCCGCGAGACCCGGAGAGGATTAAAGGGGGGAGGGGCCCCAACACCAGCACCCCCCATCCCCCACCCAGCACCCATTGCCCCCCTCCCCCCGCTGGTTCTGGCACCCATGGGTGCTGGCAGTGACCCAGGACACGACACCAGCACCCATGGGTGGCACCCATGGCCTAATACTGCGACACCCAGCTTTATTCAAGGCACTTGGGAGCAAGGGGCCCCATCCAGATGCTGGGGTCCCCATCCAGATGCTGGGATCCCCATCCAGATGTTGAGGTCCCCGTCCAGATGCTGGGGTCCCCATCCAGATGTGAGGTCTCCATCCAGATCCCGCGGTCCCCATGCAGATGTTGGGGTCTCCACCCAGATGTTGGTGTCCTCATCCAGATGCTGAGGTCCCCCTCCAGATGTTGGGATCTCCATCCATATGCTGAGGTCCCCACACAGGTTTGGGCGGTCTCCATCCAGATGTTGGGGTCCCCACCAAATGCTGGGGTCTCCATCCAGATGTTAGGGGTCTCCATCCATATGCTTAGGGCCCCATCCAGGTGTTGGGGTCTCCATCCAGGTTTGGGGGGGTCCCCATCCAGATGTTGGTGTCTCCATCCAGATGTTGGGGTCCCCACCAAATGCTGGGGTCTCCATCCAGGTGCTGGGGTCTCCATCCAGATGCTGAGGTCCCCATGCAGGTGTTGGGGTCTCCATCCAGGTTTGGGGGGGTCCCCATCCAGATGTTGGTGTCTCCATCCAGATGTTGGGGTCCCACCCAGATGTTGAGGTCCCCACCATTGTCTCCCCCCAACCCTTCTCCTCTTCCTACCTCTCCCCCCCCTTACCCCAGCTGGAGCCCCCCCACCCGCCCCAGATGCTGCTGTGGGGAGACCCCCTTGGGTACCACTATGGGGAGAACCCTTGGGTGCTGCTATGGGTGCCCCCCCAGGTACCACTGTGGGGAGCACCCATGGGTAACACTATGGGGAACACCCATAGGTGCTGCTATGAGGAGCACCCATGGATACCACTATGGGGAGCCCCCCTGGGTACCACGGTGGAAGCACCCATGGGTGCTGCTATGGGTACCACTATGGGAGCACCCATGGGTGCCCCTATGGTTGTCTCCTGGTTACTACTATGGGTGCAACCCTGGTTACCACTATGGGGAGCACCCATGGGTACCGCTATGGGGAGCACCCATGGGTACCGCTATGGGGAGCACCCATGGGTACCGCGATGGGAAGCATCCATGAGGACCATTCTGGGGAGCACCCATGGGTGCCCCTATGGTTGTCTCCTGGTTACTACTATGGGTGCAACCCTGGTTACCACTATGGGGAGCACCCATGGGTACCGCTATGGGGAGCACCCATGGGTACCACTATGGGGAGCATCCATGGGTACCGCTACGGGAGCACCCATGGGTGCTGCTATGCGTACACCTCTGGGTGCCACTATGGGGAGCACCCATGGGTGCTGCTATGGGTGCAGGCTGCCCCCATCCAAGAAGTCCTGGATGAGGCGGGCGAGGGCACGGGGCTGGTCCTCAGGCAGCCAATGGCTGGCGTCGGGCAGGAGGCAGAGGCGGGCGCTGGGCCGCAGGCACCGGCGCAGGGACGGCACCAGCCGTGGGTCCAGGAGCGCGTCGTGGCCGCCCCACAGCAGCAGCGTGGCGATGGGGGGCGGCTCGCGAGGGATCGGGGTGCCCCTGCGGGGAGACGGGGGAGGAGCTTCCATGGGGCACCCAACCGGGAGCGTCTCCAATGGGAGCATCTCCAATGGGAGCGTCTCCAATGGGGCACCCAACTGGGAGCGTCTCCAATGGGAGCATCTCCAATGGGGCACCCAACTGGGAGCGTCTCCAATGGGAGAATCACCAATGGGAGTGTCTCCAATAGGGCACCCAACTGGGGGCATTAAAATGGGAGCATCTCCAATGGGGCACCCAACTGGGAGCATCTCCAATGGGAGCATCTCCAATGGGAGCATCTCCAATGGGGCACCCAACTGGGAGCGTCTCCAATGGGAGAATCACCAATGGGAGTGTCTCCAATAGGGCACCCAACTGGGGGCATTAAAATGGGAGCATCTCCAATGGGGCAACCAACTGGGGGCATTACCAATGGGAGCATCTCCAATGGGGCACCCAACTGGGAGCATCTCCAATGGGAGCATCTCCAATGGGAGCATCTCCAATGGGGCACCCAACTGGGAGCGTCTCCAATGGGAGAATCACCAATGGGAGCATCTCCAATGGGGCACCCAACCAGGAGCGTCTCCAATGGAAGAATCACCAATGGGAGCATCTCCAATGGGGCACCCAACTGGGAGCGTCTCCAGTGGGAGTGTCTCCAATGGGAGCGTCTCCAATGGGGCACCCAACTGGGGGCATTACCAATGGGAGCATCTCCAATGGGGCAACCAACTGGGAGCGTCTCCAATGGGAGAATCACCAATGGGGCACCCAACTGCGGGTATTACCAATGGGAGCATCTCCAATGGGGCACCCAACCAGGAACGTCTCCAATGGGAGCGTCTCCAATGGGAGCATCTCCAGTGGGAGCATCTCCAATGGGGCACCCAACTGGGAGCGTCTGCAATGGGGAGCGTCTCCAATAGGAGCATCTCCAATGGGAGTGTCAGCAATGGGGCACCCAACTGGGAGCATCTCCAATGGGAGCATCTCCAATGGGGCACCCAACTGGGAGCATCTCCAATGGGACCACCCCAAAGTGGAGAACCCCAAGTGGAGCCTCATAATTGGGCACCGAAGTGAGATCAACCCAAAGAGGAGCACCCCAATGGGATCCCATCAACCCATAACACCCAACCCAAGAGCACCCAAGTGGAATCATCCCAAAGAGGAGCACCCCAATGGGATCCCATCAACCTGCAACATGTAACACCCAACCCATAACACCCAACCCAAGAGCACCCAACTGGAATCATCCCAAAGAGGAGCACCCCAATGGGATCCCATCAACCCATAACACCCAACCCAAGAGCACCCAACTGGAACCCTCCCAAAGAGGAGCACCCCAATGGGATCCCACCAACCCACAACACCCAACCCAAGCGCACCCAACTGGAACCATCCCATGGAAGACCCCTTGAGTTGGATCCCTCAATGGGACAACCCCCCTACCCCCACCCCCACCCAACCAGCAGCACCCAATGGGTGCCCCCAACCTGAAGAGGTTGCGGTAGTGGTGCAGGGGGGGGCTGAGCGCCCCGGGCTGGGCCAGGCTGTAGATGTAAGCATCCAACTCCTGCTCCGTCAAGCTCCGACCGGGGCTCTGGATCCCGGTCCATGCTCCGGTCAGGATGAGCTTCACCAACTACAGAGCCCCCAATGGGGGACACAGGAGGTGGGGATGAAACCACGGCCCCACAATGGGCTCCGGGGCCTCGTGTGGGGCTTGGGGGGGTTATGTGGGGATGGGGCCTACCTCGAAGTCCGCCAGGGAGAGCAGCAGCTCCGGCAGCCAGGGCAACTGGAACAGGAAGACGTAGCTGGAGCGCAGGAGCTGCGTGGGGTGGCCTAGGGTGAAGCCTGAACCCAAAGAGGGATGGGGAGGGTGGGGGGTCAGGGTGGGGATGCCCTGAGAGGTGGCACCCAATGGCACCCGATGGCGCGGTCATGATTGATAACACCCAGTGGTGTGGCCATGAGATAGCACCCAACACGATGGCCATGAGAGATGGCACCCAATGGCATGGTCATGATTGATGGCACCCAATGGCCTGGCCATGAGATAGCACCCAACAGGATGGCCGTGAGAGATGGCACCCAAGGGTGTGGTCATAAGAGATGGCACCCAATGGTGTGGTCATGGTTGATGGTACCCAATGGTGTGGCCATGAGATAGCACCCAACAGGATGGCCGTGAGAGAAGGCACCCAATGGTGTGGCCATGAGATAGCACCCAACAGGGTGGCCATGAGAGATGGCACCCAATGGCATGGCCATGAGATAGAACCCAATGGTGTGGTCATAAGAGATGGCACCCAACAGCCTGGTCATGAGATAGCACCCAATGACATTGACCATGGGATGGCACCCAAGGGCATCGACCATGGATGTCACCCAATGCTATCGACCATGGGATGGCACCCAATGCCATCGACCATGGGATGGCACCCAATGACACTGACCATGGACGTCACCCAATGCCATCGACCATGGGATGGCACCCAATGACACTGACCATGGACGTCACCCAATGCCATCGACCATGGGATGGCACCCAATGACACTGACCATGGGATGGCACCCAATGACACTGACCATGGGATGGCACCCAATTCCATCAACCATGGGATGGCACCCAATGACATTGACCATGGGATAGCACCCAATGATATTGACCATGGGATGGCACCCAATGATACTGACCATGGACGTCACCCAATGCCATTGACCATGGGATGGCACCCAATGACACTGACCATGGACGTCACCCAATGCCATTGACCACGGGACGGCACCCAATGCCATCGACCAAGGGATGGCACCCAATTCCATCGACCACGGGACGGCACCCAATGCCATCGACCATGGGATGGCACCTAATGACATCGATCATGGGATGGCACCCAATGCCACCGCCCATGGGATGGCACCCAATTCCATCGACCACGGGATGGCACCCAATGCCATTGACCATGGGATGGCACCTAATGACATCGATCATGGGATGGCACCCAATGATACTGACCATGGACATCACCCAATGCCATCGACCATGGGATGGCACCCAATGCCACCGACCATGGGATGGCACCTAATGCCACCAACCATGGGATGGAACCCAATTCCATCGACCACGGGATGGCACCCAATGCCACTGACCATGGGATGGCACCCAATGCTATTGACCATGGGATGGCACCCAATTCCATCGACCATGGGATGGCACCCAATGCCACCGACCATAAGACACCACCCAACCCCATGGCTACGCGATGGCGCCCGCCACCCCCATGGAGGCCCCTTACCGGCCATGACGGCGCGGTGCGGCGCGTCCATCACCACCAGCTTCTCCACCAGCTCTGGGTGGCCGGCGGCCAATTCCCAGGCCAGGACCCCCCCCCAGTCGTGTCCCACCAGGATGCACTTGGGGGGCGCGGGGGGGGCGCCGGGGGCTCCGTTGGGCCCATTGGGGGTGCCCAGCGCCTCGATGACCTGGCGCACGTCGTCCAGCAGCGCCTCCAGGCGGTAGCTGTCCCTGCCCGGTGGCTTGGAGGAGGCGCCGTAACCGCGGAGGTCCAAGGCCACCACCCGGTACCGGGAACCAAACTCCTGCAGGAGGTGGCGCCAGCAGAACCTGGAGGGAGGAGGGAGGCGGTGACCATGGTGACCATGGGGGTGACCATGGGATTGACCGGGGTGACCATGGGATTGACCATGGTGACCATGGTGATGATGATGGCGATCATGATGCCATGATGACCAGAGTGATCATGATGATGGTGATGGTGACCATGGTGACCATAATGATGATGATGGCGATCATGATGCCATGATGACCAGAGTGATCATGATGATGATGATGGTGACCATAATGATGATGATGGTGATCATGATGCCATGATGACCAGAGTGATCATGATGATGATGATGGTGACCATAATGATGATGATGGCGATCATGATGCCATGATGACCAGAGTGATCATGACGATGATGATGGTGACCATGGTGACCATAATGATGATGATGGTGATCATGATGACCAATGGTGATCATGATGATGGTGACCATGATGCCATGACCAGAGTGATCATGATGGTGACCATGGTGACCACAATGACCATGATGATGATGATAGCGATCATGATGCCATGATGACCAGAGTGATCATGATGATGATGATGGCAATCATGATGACCATGGTGATCATGATGATGATGACCATGGTGACCATAATGACCATGATGATGATGATGGCGATCATGATGACCATGGTGATCATGATGATGGTGACCATGATGCCATGACCAGAGTGATCATGATGATGATGATGGTGACCATGGTGACCATAATGATGATGATGGCGATCATGATGCCATGATGACCAGAGTGATCATGATGATGATGATGGTGACCATAATGATGATGATGGCGATCATGATGCCATGATGACCAGAGTGATCATGACGATGATGATGGTGACCATGGTGACCATAATGATGATGATGGTGATCATGATGACCAATGGTGATCATGATGATGGTGACCATGATGCCATGACCAGAGTGATGATGATGATGATGATGGTGACCATGGTGATCATGATGCCATGATGACCAATGGTGATCATGATGATGGTGACCATGATGCCATGACCAGAGTGATCATGATGATGATGATGGTGACCATGGTGATCATGATGATGGTGACCATGATGCCATGACCAGAGTGATGATGATGATGATGATGGTGACCATGGTGACCATAATGATGATGATGGCGATCATGATGCCATGGTGACCAGAGTGATGATGATGATGGTGACCATGATGCCATGATGACCATAGTGATCATGATGATGATGATGGTGACCATGGTAACCATAATGACCATGATGATGATGATGGCGATCATGATGACCATGGTGATCATAATGATGGTGACCATGATGCCATGATGCCCATAGTGATGATGATGATGGTGACCATGGTGACCAGGATGCCATGATTATAGTGATCATGATGATGATGATGACCATGATGATGATGATGGTGATCATGATGCCATGATGACCAGAGTGATGATGATGATGGTGACGATGATGACCATGGTGATCATGATGATGATGGTGACCATGATGCCATGATGATCAGAGTGATCATGATGATGATGATGGTGACCATGGTGACCATAACGACCATGATGATGATGATGGCGATCATGATGACCATGGTGATCATGAGATGATGATGGTGATCATGATGACCATGGTGATCATGATGATGATGATGATGGTGACCATGGTGACCATGATGCCATGATGACCATAGTGATCAAGATGATGATGATGGTGACCATGATGCCATGATGACCAGAGTGATCATGATGATGGTGACCATAACAACCATGATGATAATGATGGCGATCATGATGAGCATGGTGATCATGGGATGATGATGGTGATCATGATGACCATGGTGATCATGATGATGATGATGATGGTGACCATGATGCCATGATGACCATAGTGATCAAGATGATGATGATGGTGACCATGATACCATGATGAACATAGTGATCAAGATGATGATGATGGTGATGACCATGATGACCATGGTGGTGATGGTGGCGGTCACCATGGTGACCATGATGTTAACCACAGTGATCATGATGACCGTGATGATGATGGCGATGACCATGATGACCATGGTGGTGATGGTGGCGGTCACCATGGTGACCATGATGATGACCACAGTGATCATGATGACCGTGATGATGACAGTGATGCCCATGGTGACCATGATATCACGATGACCATGGTGATCATGATGAAGACGATCATGACAATAATGATGACAGTGGTGACCATGGTGACCATGATGACCATGGTGAGTTGATGACCATGATATCATGATGACCACAGTGATCACGATGATGACCTCCATGATGACCATGGTGATGACCATGGTGACCATGATGATGAAGGTGATCACCATGGTGATGATGATGATGATGACCGTGATGATGGTGATGACCATGGTGACCATGATGATGAAGGTGGTCACCATGGTGATGATGATGATGACCATGATGATGCTGTTGGTGCCCATGACGAAGACGATGATGACGATGGCACCACCAGGGTGCTGGTACCCACCAGTTCTGAGGGAAGCCGTGGAGAAGCAGCATCAATGGGGCCGTGGCTGGACCCCGGGTGACGTAGTGGAGCATCAGCCCCGAGTCCTAAAGTGGGGGTTGTGTTGTGGGTCAGCGGGGTGCCCCCACCCCATAACTTGACCCCCAAGTCCCCCCCTCCATCACCTTAAGGCGCAGGTACTTGTGCTCCCCATAGGTGCCATCGGCCAGGCCGGGAGGGGGCCGGTCCCGCGCCCGCCGCCCGAAGGTGGCTCGGGGTCCCCGGCGCAGCAGCACCCAAAGGCCCCAGAGCCCGTAGGCCACCGCCGCGGCCCCCGTGGCCACCGCCACCCCCAGCCGGGCCACCAGGCTCGACACGGCCAAGAGGAGCCGGGTGGGCGCCAGCAGCAGCGAGCACAGGGACAGGAGCATGGCCGGGACCTGAGGGGGACACGGGGGAACCGTGGGGTGGCTCCATCCCCATGGTGTCCCCAACCCCATGGTGTCCCCATCCCATGGTGTCCTTATCCCATGGTGCCCCCATCCCCACGGTGTCCCTATCCCAGTGTGTCCCCACCCCATGGTGCCCTCAACCCCATGGTGCCCCCATCCCCATGGTGCCCCCACCCCATGGTGTCCCCATCCCCATGGTGCCCCCAAACCCCATGGTGCCCCCATCCCCATGGTGTCCCCATCCCCATGGTATCCCCATCCCATGGTGTCCTTATCCCATGGTGCCCCCATCCCCATGTGTCCCCACCCCATGGTGCCCCCATCCCCATGGTGTCCCTATCCCAATGTGTCCCCACCCCATGGTGCCCCCACCCCATGGTGCCCTCAACCCCATGGTGCCCCCATCCCATGGTGCCCCCACCCCATGGTGTCCCTATCCCAATGTGCCCCCACCCCATGGTGCCCTCATCCAATGGTGTCCCCATCCCCATGGTGCTCCCACCCCATGGTGTCCCCAACCCCATGGTGCCCCCATCCCCACGGTGCCCCCACCCCATGGTGTCCCCATCCCCATGGTGCTCCCACCCCATGGTGTCCCCAACCCCATGGTGCCCCCATCCCCACGGTGCCCCCACCCCATGGTGTCCCTATCCCAATGTGTCCCCACCCCACGGTGCCCCCATCCCCATGATGCCCCCAGCCCCATGGTGCCCTCATCCAATGGTGTCCCCCTCCCCATGGTGCCCCCATCCCAATGGTGCCCCCATCCCCATGGTGCCCCCACCCCATGGTGCCCTCAACCCCATGGTGCCCCCATCCCCATGGTGCCCCCATCCCATGGTGCCCCCACCCCATGGTGCCCTCAACCCCATGGTGCCCCCATCCCCATGGTGCCCCCATCCCATGGTGCCCCCACCCCATGGTGCCCTCAACCCCATGGTGCCCTCAACCCCATGGTGCCCCCATCCCATGGTGCCCCCACCCCATGGTGCCCTCAACCCCATGGTGCCCCCATCCCCATGGTGCCCCCATCCATGGTGCCCCCATCCCCATGGTGCCCCCATCCCCATGATGCCCCCACCCCATGTTGTCCCTATCCCAATGTGCCCCCACCCCACATTGTCCCACCCCTTGGGGTCCCGCTATGGGGTGCCCCACCCCATTGTGCCCCAGTCCATGGGGTCCGGCCATGGGGGGTGCCGATGGTGCCGTGTCCCCCCCCCCCCCGCGCCGTGCCCTTGTCCTGACCCCCCCGTCCCCGCCCCCCCCCAACTCCCCTCCCCCCATTCCCGCGTATCCGGTCACGACCCCGTCCCTGTCGCGACAGCGCTGGGTGGGGGAGGGGGGGGTCCCTGTCGCGACACGAAGGGGTCCCCGCCCCCTCCCCCCTCCCCCCCCCGACCTTCTCGCGCCGCTTCCTCCGCCCGCCCGAGCTCGGCCGCGCCCGGCCCCGCCCCCCTCCCCGCTCATTGGTCACCGACAAAGAGGCGGGGCCGAGCCACGCGGCGGCCAATGGGAGCGCGGGGCGGAGGTCACGTGAGGGGGGACGGGAAAAAGTTCCCAAGTTTGGGGCTTTTTGGGGCCATTTTCGAGGTTTTTTTTTGTTTTTTCCTCCTTTTTTTCTTCATTTTTTAATTTTTTTTTTGTCTTTTTCCCCCTTGGAGTTTTTTTTTCCCCATTTTTCGCCTCTTTTAACATTTTTTTTACCGTTTAGTTTCGTTTTTTTCCCCTTTTCCCCCATTTTTTGCACTTTTTTGCCCATTTTTGCTCTTTTTTCCACCTTTTCCCCTTTTTCTCTATTTTAAACCAATTTCTCCTGGTTTTTAACCCCTTTTTCTGCCACTTTCAACCCCTTTTTAATCCCTATTCTCCCTTTTCCTTTTTCCCTCTTTTTTCCCCCCATTTTCCCCCTTTTTTGTCCCCTTTTTTCTTTTAAATTCTAAATTTAAATCTCGGATGAAAAGTTTAACCCCAAATTTCAAGTGAATCCTCAATTTTCAACCTTGAAATTCATCCTCAAATTTCACATTTAACGCTCACATTCAGCCTCAATTTTCCAATTTAAGCCTTTAATTTCCAATTTCACCCTGAATTTAACCTTCAAATTAGATTTCAGCTGCAAATTTCACATTGAACCCTCACATTTCGATGCTAAGCCCCAATTTTTGTGTTTAACCCTAAAATTTCAAATTTAACCCCGAATTTTCAAATTCCAACCTAAATTTGATAATTTAACCTTCAATTTAGATTTAACCCTCCAGTTTCAGATTCAACCCTCAAATTTCAGATTTCACCCCAAATTTCAACCTCCGCCCTCCAATTTTCACCCCCAGATTTCAAATTTCAAGGCCCAATTTTCACCCCCAGATTTCAAATTTCAAGTCCCAATTTTCACCCTCCAATTTCAAATTCCAAGTCCCAATTTTCACCCCCAGATTTCAAATTTCAAGTCCCAATTTTCACCCTCAGATTTCAAATTCCAAGTCCCAATTTTCACCCTCAGATTTCAAATTTCAAGTCCCAATTTTCACCCTCCAATTTCAAATTTCAAAGCCCAATTTTCACCATACAATTTCAAATTTCAAGGCCCAATTTTCACCCTCCAATTTCAAATTTCAAGTCCCAATTTTCACCCCCAGATTTCAAATTCCAAGTCCCAATTTTCACCCCCAGATTTCAAATTCCAAGTCCCAATTTTCACCCCCAGATTTCAAATTTCAAGTCCCAATTTTCACCCCCAGCTTTCAAATTTCAAGTCCCAATTTTCACCCCCAGATTTCAAATTTCAAGTCCCAATTTTCACCACCAGATTTCAAATTTCAAGGCCCAATTTTCACCCCCAGCTTTCGAATTTCAAGGCCCAATTTTCACCCCCAGATTTCAAATTCCAAGTCCCAATTTTCACCCTCAGATTTCGAATTTCAAGGCCCAATTTTCACCCCCAGATTTCACCCTGAATGTTCAAAATTTCACCCTCAATTCCCCCACATTTGGAAGCCGAGGATGACCCCAATGGGGGGGTTGGGCAGACCCCCCCCCCCCCCCCCCAAGGCCCCGCCCCCCCTGGTTGGAAGAAGCAGCCAATCCCGTGGCTTGTTTTATACAAAACCAAAAGAGCTGCGTTTATTCCATCATCAGCATCAGCATTGGCCCCGGCTCCGGCTCCGGGCTCGGATCCGAGCGGCTCCGGCCGGGAATAATTATAATAATAATAATAATATAATAACATTAATGGGGGAGGGAGGCTCCGCTCCAGGGCTCGGGAATGCCGGGAATGGGCTGGAGCCCCGCCGGGAGCGGGAAACCCATGGAAATCATAACAAAAAACATGGGAGAAAGCGGCGATTTTGGGGGGAAATGGGGAAGAAATGGGCAAAAAAGGGGAGCTCTGGGGGGGGGGATGGGGGGAAAAGGAGGGGAATGAGGGGGAAAGATGGAAAAGGGGAATAAAGGAGGAAAAGGAAAGGAATAAAGAAGGAAAATGGGGGAAAAGGAGGAAAAAGAGGGGAAAAGGGGGAATAAAGGAGGAAAAGGAAGGAAATAAAGAGGAAAAGAATGAAAATGGGGGAAAAAGGAGGAAAATGAGGGGAAAAAGGGGAATAAAGGAGGAAAAGGAAAGGAATAAGAATGAAAATGGGGGAAAAGGAGGAAAATTAGGGGGAAAGGGGAATAAAGGAGGAAAAGGAAAGAAATAAGAAAGAAATGAAAATGGGGAAAAAGGAGGAAAAGAAATGAATGAAAATGGGGAAAAAGGGAGGAAAATGAGGGGAAAAGGGGGAATAAAGGAGGAAAAGGAATGAAAATGGGGGAAAAAGGAGGAAAATGAGGGGAAAAGGGGGATAAAGGAGGAAAAGAAAGGAATGAAAATGGGGGAAAAATGAGGAAAATGAGGGGGAAAAGGGGAATAAAGGAGGAAAAGAATGAAAATGGGGAAAAATGAGGAAAATGAGGGGAAAAAGGGAATGAAGGAGAAAAAAAGAGGAAAATAAGAAAAAAAAGAAACTAAAAGGAAAAAGAGAGAGAAAGGAAAAAAAGAGAGAAAAGAAATAAAAGAGGAAAACAGGAGGAAAAATAGAAAAAAAGACTAAAAAGGAGAAAAAAAGGGAAATAAAAAATACAGGAGAAAAAAGGCAAAAAGGAGGAAGATGGGGAAAAATGGAAAAATAGGGGAAAAAAGAGAAAAAGGAGGAAAATCAATGGAAAAATAAAGAAAAAAGGGGAAAAAGGAGGAAGATAGGGAAAAATGGAAAAAGGGGGAAAAAGAGAAAAAGGAGGAAAATCAATGGAAAAATAAAGAAAAAAGGGGAAAAAGGAGGAAAGAAAAAAAGAGGGAAAGGAGAAAAAAAAGGGGAAAAAAAATGGTAAAAGGAAAAAAGGAGGAAAAATAAGGGAATAAAAAGGAGGAAAACAGAAAAAAGTAGAAAAAAGGAGGAAAACCTGGAAAACTTCGGGAAAATTGGAGAAAAAGGAGGAAAAAAAGGAGGAAAAAAAGGAGGAAGCCTCCCCAAATGTGGTGGGGGGAGGGTCTCCCCTCCCCCATCGCCCCTCCCCCCCTCTGGCTGCCCCTTGCCCTCGCCCCACCGCCCCTCCCCCTCCCATTTTGCCGCCGTTTTGAACTTTTTTAATTCCGAAACGAAATTCCTTTTTTTTTTTTTTTTTTTGTGCCGTTGTTTTTTTTTTTTTCCAAAATACGTGAAAAAAAAAAAAAAAGAAAAAAAACCAAAAAAAAACCAAACCCCCACCCAAATAAAAATAAACCTGGAATATACACTGGGAAAAGGGGGGGGGGGGGAGGGGCCTTTTCCCGGCGGATTCGCGTCCTTTTCCGCTGGGATTGGCCTTGAAATCTTTTTCCTTTTGGCTGATTTTTGGGATTTTGGGGGTGTTTTGTGGGGGGTGGGGTTTTTTTTTTTTGCTATTTTTCAGGGATTCGCTGTGAAAAGAGGGAATAAAGAGGGAAAAGAAGGAGAATTCCCGGCATTCCGGGCACGGCCGATCCCGCTCCCGCATTAACACTTAACGCAGAGTCCGAAGCTTTGATTTTTGACTTTTCCATCTTTTTTTTTGTTGTTGTTTCGCGGGGGAAAAGGGAAAAAAAAGAGAAAATTTTTTGTGGATTTTTTTTTTTTTTCTCCCTTTTTTTTTTTTTTTCCTGGGAATTTTTTGTGGGTTTTTTTTTTGTTGTTTTTTTTTTTGTTGTTGTTTTTTTTTTTTTGTTGGTTTTTTTTCCTTGGAAAGAGTCAAATCGGGAGGAACAAAACCCGGAGCCGCCGGCGCCGCTAGAAAAGGTTTTCCTCAAAGATGGCCAATAAATCGCTCTGGAAATTCATGTCGATCGTCGCCGCCATCTGCAAGAGAAGGGAAACTCCATCAGGAATTCCCTTTGCCATTCCCGGGATTTTTTTCACCATTCCCAAGGGGTTTTCGTGCATATTTTTGGAGTTTTTCTATGCCCCCAAAGGGCTTTTTAGGGCGCTTGAAGAATTCTTTTAGGATCCCAGTGTTTTTGCAGCATTCCCAAGGATTTTTCCACCATTCCCAAGGACTTTTCCACCATTCCCAAGGATTTTTTGCCCCTTTCCCAAGGATTTTTTGCACCGTTCCCAAGGATTTTTCCACCGTTTCCAAGGATTTTTGCACCGTTCCCAAGGATTTCTGCCCCGTTCCCAAGGATTTCTGCACCGTTCCCAAGGATTTCTGCCCCGCTCCCAAGGATTTCTGCCCTGTTCCCAAGGATTTCTGCACCATTCCCAGGCTATTTTTCCCCATTCCTGGCATTCTTGACATTGTCACCTTTGAACATTCCCAGAGGGAGGGGGATTCTGAGTGTCCTCAGCCATTTCTCACTATTCCCAATGGATTTTCCCAGGGATTTCTCACCATTCCCAGGGATTTTTTTGCCATTCCCAGATTTTGGCATTCCCAGGGGTTTTTTTTCCTGGCATTCCTGGCTGTTTGCTAAGATTCTCCCAGGGCTTTTTTCACAACAGCAAGGATTTTTCAGTATCCTCATTGATTTTTTCCACCATCCCCAAGGATTTTTTCCAGCATTCCCAGGGATTTTTTCAGCATTCCCAGAAATTTGGGTTTTTTTTTTTGGAATCCACAAGTTTTGTCATTTCCATTCCCCAAAGGGTTTTCTTTGCAACTCGGGGGATTTTGGAGCATCCCAGCAATCCCTATGGAGACCTTTCAGCATCCCATGGGATGTTTCAGCATCCCCAGGCGCTTTTGAGCATCCCTGGACCCTTTTCAGCATCCTCAGGGATTTTTCAGTCTCCCTGGTGATTTTTCACCATCTCCAAGGATTTCCCAACACCCCCCAAGGCTTTTTGGGTCCCCCAAGGAGGGATTTTCCTTTGCTTTCCCAACCATTGTTTGGAATCACCTTGGGCCCTGTTTTTGCTTCCCGATGGATTTTCCATCCCCACCAAACCGCTTCCCCTCACCGCTTCCCGGCGCCTCCGTTCC